GGCTGGTTTTGTCGCCAGCGTCAGGGTTGTAAGCCGTATATGTATACGTATCTATATATATATGAAAACTCAAGAAAGGAAGAAAGCCGCCTGCGTTTGCCACCCAGCTCGTCGCGAATTGCCAACGCGCGCTTATCTCCCACGCAAGTGTGTACTTCGCCCCGTGAATTGGGGGGGGGGGGGGCGAAGGTGAGACGCCTGTGGGTGCACGCTTATCCTACGGTGGAGAGAATCGCGTGCCTTCGACTTTCACTGGAACGAACGATTACGTTTAGTTGCCGGGCGCGGAAAGATCCCTTAACTGGCTGTATATGCACTGTTTGCGAAAATAGTGCGCTTTTCAAACACAGCGAAGTAACAAGTGGAACACGTGTTAGTTTGTTCTCATCTGTACTTGTGATTACGTTTGCTGTGTCGTTCTTGTTTAAACAGAGCATAAGTAAGCGTTCTTAGGTCACCCTCGTCCGGTGTGTGCGTCATTTGTGCGTGCGCAGCGCGCTGTAAGTTTCGATCTGCTTGCTGATAGGGGTAGAGCCAACGTTCTTGCCATCGCATTTGTTGCTTTGCCCTTGCGGTGAAACTGTGGCTTTTTTATTCTTATCTGCTCAGCTAGTTTTTTATATTATCTGCCCACCTAGTTTTCTATTTCCTCCTCAAGCGTTTGCCTTCTCTTGAAATTGAGCTGGTTCCCCTAATGACGAGTGGTTATCCTGCCAACGTACTACATGCCCAACCCACGTCAATTTCTTCTTCTCAATTTAAACTATGGTGTCCTTAACCCCTGTTTGTTTCAAGTCCCACTGCTCTCGCTTTCTCACTCAAGGAGTTACACCCATTATTTTTTCTTTTCCCAGCTTACAGCGCCACCCTCAATTCAGGTTGAAATTTCAGAAATTTCAGAAGTGGTTTTATTTTATTTGTCATCGAATCATTTACAAAGATTTGTGTATACAGATGGAGGTCCCATAGTCAGAGACTGAATCGGGACCTCCTACAGTAGTGAATATAGAAAAAATAAGTGATGCAGCAAACAGTCGTACAGAAAACAAGTAATGAAATACTTCGCAGGTGAAAACGAAAAAGGAGTTCTACTTAAGAAAAACCTTAGCAGAAAGCAGCAACAAAAACTGAAACGAGACAACATTGAAATAGACGTGATTCAGCTCTCCTAAGTAGTTTTCAGATAATTACCATGGCGAAAGTTAGTAAAAATAAACTACGAGAAAAGAAAACTAAACAGTGACATCTGATATCAGCAATGTAGGATGATGATGTGATGCTTTGTTAACGTCAGGTTGTGAGAAAGCATGAAAGGGAGCGGGAGTAAAAGAAGTCACTAAAGCTATCTAGTTAATGAATTGGATGGGAGGAAAGTCTTCATATCTTTTTTGAATATGCCGATTGATTCCGATGCTTTTATTTCTGAATGTATAGTATTCCAGAGATAGATTCCAGTGAAGTGGGCTGTTTGTTTGCCTTAGTTAGTATGAACTATAGGTAAGATAAAAAGGTGATTTTGTGCAAACCTTGTCAAGTTTGTATTCTCTAAGCTAGATGGAGGGATTATACACAAAGGAAGCTGATTTTTATTTGCTTGAAAACTAGCACGCCTAGATTATATTTGAAAGTGTTCTCGACTGTTAGGATGTTGGCATGCAGGAGTGCTTTAGCATCAGTGCGATAATGACTGTGGGTAGGAATTCTAATAGAGTGATTTTGCATAGTTTGAAGGGAGACGAGATGACTGCTGTAGGTATTGCCCCAAGATGTGATACAGTAATTATTATGAGAGTGAATAAAAGCATAGCACAATGAAAGTAATGTGGCTTTGGAAAGTATATCCCGGGATTTAATTAAAACAAGTATGTCGTAAGCCGTTTTTTCCCGCAGGTATGCAACATGCGAATGAAGTTTCAAATGATGTTCTGGTCTAATTCCCAAGAATGTCGCCTCATCGTCTGCTTCAATTGCGAATTGATTTATGAATATTGACGGGATATAATTATGTTCACGTTGGCGAGAGTGAAAAACAACAAATTTCTTTTTGGTGGGATTTATTTGTAATTTATTACGGATACACCACGCAGCCAAGCCTGAAAGGTCATGATTTAGTTTCTGTGTTAGAGGTTGGAGGCATTTATCAGTGTTCACAATTGTTGTGTCGTCTGCATACAATAAGCCTTCTGAGCTGGCAAGGCAAGATGGCAAATCATTTATGTAAATAATGAAAAGACGTGGGCCGAGTATAGAACCTTGAGGTACTCCTATATTTGTTACCTTAGGTATGAAATTTGTTACCTTAGGTATGAAAATATGCTTCGCGAAAACTAAATTGGGAAATAGATAAAATCTGAAACTTCTTGAGGTATTTCGTCAGACAAATTTCGAGCACTTTTTTGAATATTTTACTGAGGAATGGTATAATGCAAATGGGTCGATAGTTGGATATCAGTGTAGGGTCACCTGCCCCGCCACGGTGGTCTAGTGGCTAAGGTACTCGGCTGCTGACCCGCAGGTCGCGGGTTCGTATCCCGGCTGCGGCGGCTGCATTTCCGATGGAGGCGGAACTGTTGTAAGCCCGTGTACTCAGATTTGGGTGCACGTTAAAGAACCCCAGGTGATCGAAATTTCCGGAGCCCTCCACTACGGCCTCTCTCATAATCATCAGTGGGTTTGGGACGTTAAACCCCACATATCAATCAGTGTAGGGTCACCTTTCTTAAAAACTGGGACTACTCTGCTACTTTTCAATTCTACAGGAAAGATGCCAGCTTTGAAAGCTAGGTTGATGATGGATGCCAAAATATCAGAAACAACATGAACAATCATTTTTACGTGGGTTGGGTGAATGCCATCAGGACCAGCACTTGTTGTGTTCAGGTGGCGAATGACATCATGTACTTCATGAGATGTGGTAGGAAATAGGAATAACGATTGTGACATACGAGAAAGGGGAAGATGATAGTCAGCTTTGGGGATGAGATCAGAATAAAAAAGTAGTTACTGAAGGCCTCCGCAATTTCTAACGGGGTATCATACGTAACGTTTTATACTGAATAGTAGTGATGCTAGAATGCCTTTCATTCCTGTTCAGGAATGAGTTGACGATTTCCCATTTTTTCTTACAATTTGAAGCAGCATCTTCAATTTTTCGTTTATATAAAATCTTTTTTGCATTTTTCAGATGCAATGTAAGGGCATTGCAGAATTTTTCGTAACGCGCGAGTAATTTCAAGGTAAAAGGCTTCCGTTTTGTTTTCCTCTAAAGGTTCTCTTTGGCTCTCAGCTCCTTCAGTAATCTTTAAGTTACCCAAGGGCTTTGTGGACTGGCGTATGTTTTTTTTTTACATTTGCGAACTTCAGTATGACGCTGAATGTGTGACAATAATATGGATGAAAACTCTGAAAATGCAATTTGGGGATCATGCAAGGGTATTGCTGACGACCAATCAGTGTTCATGATGTCATCAATAAACGTTTCTTTGTCTAGAACACACCTGGTGTAAGATATGCTAGTCGGTGAAGAGATACAGCTGAAACGCAGAAAAATCGGGTAATGGTCAGTGATGTCGACATTAAGAACTCCTGCATCCGGCGCGTGTGATAAATTAGAAAGTGCGTGATCAATCAAGGTACTTGCGCCATTCATGCAGCGTGTGGGAAGGAAGATTAAACATTCATAGCCAAAACTCTGATAAACACTGGAGTAATTCAGAGAACTAGAAGAAGATAGGTCAAGTATATCAATGTTGAAATCACTCATAATCGCTATATTTCTATGACTAAGAGATAGTGTGTATAATACTTTGCGGAGGGCTTCACAGAAATTTATGACCGATGAGGATGGGGATTGATAAATGCATCCAAAGATGAACCTCTTGCTGTCTAGCTTAAGAAAATCGTGGTTAAGTTGTACCCAAACACTCTCGCAGCCAGTTACATTTCGTCGTATGTAGTGTATGTTCGGTGTAATATCAACTTCGACACCTCCATGATTGCTGCTAGGCCTATGCGAGTATTCAGACTTGTATGAGGAGAGACCGAACAACTTTTTGTAATCATCGCTAAGCCAGGTTTCAGAGATACCGATAAGTGAAAACGGATTGTCAAGAGCAGAGAGAAGAAGCTGTATGTCATCGAAGTGTTTACGGATGCTTCTTGCGTTGATATGAATCGCAGAGCGGGAGACAGGTGAAAGGAAGTAATTGAGATGACCTATTGAGAAATAAGTAGCCGTAATTGAATGGACCTAAGTGCTACAGAGGAAAAAATTGAAGTTCAATTAGGTTCGCTTGCAGACTTTGGGCAGGTCGGCTTTGCAGGTGATGCGTAGCACCTTGCTCTCCGTTGTCCTTCTGGCTTAGATTTGACAGTTATCTGTCTACAAGAATTTCCAGTTGTTCGCCTTATTTAAAGCAAGTGCCTGAGAAAAAAGTGCCTTGTTTTCGGGGGTGAGATGATCGTAAATGTAGACAAGGTTGTTGGCGGCTCCGGGCAGTCCAATGTCACTTAGGCATAGTTTGGCCTTCCGAGCCTTGCTGGCAAATTCAGCCTTTTTCGTCCGAGAGCAGAAGCGAGCAAAAGGTTCTTTGCGCCAGCTTTCACTGTTGAAACACGGTGAACGATGTCGAGATCACTGGGGGCCAGTTTACAATTAATCTTATCGCCTATAGTCTGCACGATCGTCGCGCAGTCTTCCCCATCTGTCGCCGGAACGCCCTTGGTCTCGACGTTGTTAATCCGTGAATATTGTTCCATTTGCGTCACTTTACGGGATAGTTCCGCAATTTTGTGCTTTTAGCGCCTTGTTTTCCTATGAAGCACGATCATACTGGCCTGAACGACGGCGAAAACAAGAGCAGACGCGAAAGGTCTCCGTGCTCTACGAAAAATTAACCCTGTATATATATATATATATATATATATATATATATATATATATATATATATATATATATTTATATATATATATATGTGGACACGGTGGCATCGCCGTGACAATGACGCCTGACGTACCGCTGTTCATGCAGGTCCTTTGCGCGTGCCTACGCTTCATAACCGGAGGCGCCGCGGAATCTTTTCAAACTGGAAGCGACGAGCTTCGCTACGATGCCGGCCTGCCGCCATCCTTCTGTGTGGGCGGTGATCCCTTCCGGCTTCATGAGGGTGTCTGCAATCAGCAGCTTGGTCACATCGACGATCATTTCGGACAGCCACCCGGGAGCACGATGACGTCAACACGCATGCCCACAAGGGTCCGCCTGTTTGCTTTAAATCTGGGACCATCGCCTACCTGCTTCAGTGGACACGGTGGCATCGCCGTGACAATGACGCCTGACGTACCGCTGTTCATGCAGGTTGGTGACCGGAAGGATAGCTTCCGTAGCGATTCCATAGCTCTTATAGTGCTGCCGTGTCCACAAGTTTTGGCTGACTGTGTATGTGACTGTTTTTCTATTGTGGGTCTGTTGTTGAGTCTTTCTGGCGATGTCGAGCTGAATCCGGGGCCTATAACGGACGCCGTATGCAAAGAAATGCTCCAGAATCAAAAAGAAATTTTGTCTAAACTAACAGCGGTTCAAGAAAAGCAAAATTCGTTTGAAACTAGAATTCTAGACATGCAAAATCGGCTTCTTGTTATTGAGACTAAGGTGCAAAGCTTAGATGAGACTCGCAGCAGGCTCGCAACTCTTGAAACAATTGTGGCTGAATGTCGTGACAAATCATCTAGTCTGCTTGATCAGGTGGACGATTTGGAAAATCGTTCGAGAAGAAACAACCTTATCATAAGGGGAGTAGCAGAAGATGAGAATGAAAAAGAAGAAACTCTACTGAAAAAAGTAAACGAAGAAATCTTTAGCTCTACCCTAAAGGTAAACATAACGTCTATTGAGAGAATTCATAGGATAGGAAAAAAAAAATTCTGGCAAAACTCGCCCCGTCATCCTTAGGCTGGCAGACTATAGGGATAAAATGAAAGTCTTGCAGAGGTGCTCAAGACTGAAGGATACGGGTTACAGTATCAGCGAGGACTTCTCGAAAAGAGTACAGGGAATAAGAAAAAAACTTTGGGACTCTGCTATCGAAGAAAGAAAGGCAGGAAAGAAGGTAAAACTTGTTTTTGATAAGCTGAAGGTAAACAATACTCTTTACTGCTGGAATGAAGCGCGTGCCGAAAGAAGCAAGCTTGGAAATGATGATGCAACACGTGATAAGTGACAGGCACAGGGACAGAAAGATAATTTTAAAATAATCAATTTAAATGCCCGAAGTGTATCAAATAAATCACATATGCTTGAAGCCTTGGTTATCGATCACGAACCTGATATTATTTTAATTACGGAAACATGGTTGCACGAAATTATACCTGATACTGAAATCGCTCCACCCGGTTACTCAATGGTTCGGAGGGATCGTGATGGAAGAGGGGGTGGAGTTGCTTTCTTAGTCAAGAAAGGCGTTAATTATAGTTCCCTGGACGCAGCAGATGGTATTGAGGCCGTATGGATTAAAACAAAACTAAATAATCGCACCGTGTTTATAGGTGGGGTCTACAGACCTCCAAATTCCCCTGTTGAGTACATTTTGCAACTAAGAAGATTCATGGACAGCCACTTTAGAGAAAAAGACAATATCATCTTACTAGGTGATTTCAATCTTCCGGCTATTGATTGGCATTCGCATGTGGCCGTCGACTCACATGATGCTTCTTGTGACTTATTTCTCGACTTAATATTCTCTTTCAATTTACATCAGGTTGTAAATGAGTTCACTAGAGTATGTGCAACACGGTCCTCTGTACTTGATTTGATTTTATTATCCAACGCTTTGACTTCATATGTGAATGATTGCCTTGTTGAAGAGGGTTTATCAGACCACAAGATGATTATACTGTCCATGAGCATGTCGTCGTGCACCTCACAGCAGAAATCGGGCATCACTTATCCGAACTTTCAAGCTGCCGATGATGTTAGTGTTTTGGATTTTCTTGAAAGGTCGTTTTGTAACTTCACTGCTATTTATGAATCAAATGGTAGCTCTAACTGCTTGTGGGAATATTTTCATAATATAACAATGGAATGCATTAGGCGGTTTATTCCTAAAAGTTTTAAAAAGTGTAAAAGAAATAACCCTTGGATCACGAGAGATATAATTCATGTCAAACGGAGGATTAAAAGGAAGAGAAAAGCTTGTTCTCGTGATCCAAGTGCCCAGAACAAGACTGCACTTCATAACATGAGGCTTGATCTAAATCGTCTTGTCAAGGAATCTAAGGAAAGATTTTTTAATGTAACATTGAAAAAATTTCTGTACGAAGCACCTAGCAAATTCTGGAGGTATGTAAACCCGTCCGAGCAACAGAATACACCGGTCGATGAAAAAATTGCCCTTGAACGCGCGGAAAATTTCAATTCTTTTTTTTCTTCTGTTTTCACCGAAGATGATGGTACCCTTCCGTCCCTTTCTGACGCTTCCAATCGCCCTCCGGTATCCGACCCGTTAATCAACGAAGAAGGAGTATTAAACCTTCTTCTACACATTGACATTAAGAAATCCGCTGGTCCAGACGGCATTCCGAACGAGTTTCTATATAGATATGCTCAATGGGTCGCAAAGTATCTTACTATAATCTTTCAAACTTCAATTAATCAAGCCTCATTTCCTGTAGCCTGGAAAGAAGCTAAAATAATACCAGTTCACAAAAGTGGGAACACTTCAGAAGTGGGTAACTACAGGCCTATCTCTCTTACGAGTACCTGCTCCAAACTGCTTGAGCATATACTGTGTAAGCATCTCTCTAATTATTTAGACACTCACAATTTATTATCACCTGTGCAACACGGCTTTCGAAGGGGATTATCTACAGTAACGCAGCTTGTTGTTACAGTTCACGATTTTGCGCAGGCAATTAATCGACGGGAACAGATTGATCTAATATTCTTAGATTTCGCCAAAGCCTTCGATAAGGTCTCGCATCCCAAACTCTTACTAAAAGTAAATGAAATATTCAGAAACTCAAATATTACTCAGTGGTTCATTTCTTACCTCCATTCTCGTACACAGTACGTAGAAATAAATAAAATTAAATCGAAGTCCAGACCCGTTATATCCGGTGTGCCTCAAGGCAGTGTTCTGGGGCCTCTTTTATTTCTTATTTTTATAAATGACCTGCCCTCAGATTTGTCTGTTCCCGTGAGATTGTTTGCAGATGACTGCGTTATATATAACAAGATCACATCCCTGAGAGACCAGGTAGACCTGAACAACAACTTAAACAAAATTTTACTATGGTGTAATGAATGGCAGATGGTTCTAAACCCCGTAAAATCAGTTTGCATGAGCATAACAAGAAAAAAGGTACCTCTCAAATATAATTACAATATTGGTTCCCACGATCTAAAAAGGGTAACAGAATATAAATATTTAGGGCTAATATTCACTCCAGATTTGAGGTGGAATACTCACGTAGACGTCACCTGTAGAAAGGCAAACAAAACTCTATGGGGTCTGAGGCGCAGGTTACATGACGCAACACCCGAAGTAAAAAGTCTTGCGTACAAAATGCTAGTACGCCCAATAATTGAATATTGTAAAATAGTATGGGACCCTCATACCACCACTAACCTACATAAACTGGAGAAAGTTCAAAGAATGGCTGCCAGGTTTATATTCAATAAATATCAACGTATGCACTCTGCTTCCGATCTTTGCAACCGTGCAAACCTACAAGCCTTAGAACTTAGAACTAAGTATGACCGTTTGAAATTCCTATTCCTCATTATTCGTAGTCAGGTTAAAATCAACTCATTAGATTTCTTTGAAATTTCTCCAGATCCGCGCTCTAGACACAAACACACTTTATATATACAGCCACCAGCCACCCGAAACGACGCATTTAAATACAGCTTCTTTCCGAGGGCAATTAAAGAATGGAATGAACTACCAAACAAAGTCGCGATGTCTTCCTCTATCACGGCGTTTTCTGCAGCTTTAGAATCGCTTATTTTCTCCGAAATAGATGCGTCATAATTCACGATGTCAATGTATATTGCCTCTCGCTTTGTTAATTGTTGTTTTCTATGCGCAGAATGCAAGTGCACATGCCTGTGTTTAACTTTGTCTTTTAGTGTAAATACCTGTGTTCGCTGTATGTCTCTATTTTGTAACGTATTTCATGACCATTTCTTTCATTTGTTTTCCACTCCTGTAAAAACCCCAGCTGGGGTTGACAGTATTAATAAACAAACAAACAAACAAACAAAATACTATTATATATATATATATATTTATGTATTATATATATATATATATATATATATTATATATATATATATATATAATATATATATATTATAGTCAAGTATAACCTCCGTGAGCGGTCACAACGTGGTTTATTTTGACGTTTCGGCCTAGAGTCTGCCCTTCATCAGGATCCCGATGAACGCCAGACTCTAGGCCGAAACATCAAAATAACCATTTTGTGACCACTCACGATGAATCTGCTTTACTATATGCAACGCTACGGCCGCTCACCACCTAACCTAACCTAACCTAACCTAACCTAACCTAACCTAACCTAACCTAACCTAACCTAACCTAACCTAACCTAACCTAACCTAACCTAACCTAACCTAACCTAACCTAACCTAACCTAACCTAACCTAACCTAACCTAACCTAACCTAACCTAACCTAACCTAACCTAACCTAACCTAACCTAACCTAACCTAACCTAACCTAACCTAACCTAACCTAACCTAACCTAACCTAACCTAACCTAACCTAACCTAACCTAACCTAACCTAACCTAACCTAACCTAACCTAACCTAACCTAACCTAACCTAACCTAACCTAACCTAACCTAACCTAACCTAACCTAACCTAACCTAACCTAACCTAACCTAACCTAACCTAACCTAACCTAACCTAACCTAACCTAACCTAACCTAACCTAACCTAACCTAACCTAACCTAACCTAACCTAACCTAACCTAACCTAACCTAACCTAACCTAACCTAACCTAACCTAACCTAACCTAACCTAACCTAACCTAACCTAACCTAACCTAACCTAACCTAACCTAACCTAACCTAACCTAACCTAACCTAACCTAACCTAACCTAACCTAACCTAACCTAACCTAACCTAACCTAACCTAACCTAACCTAACCTAACCTAACCTAACCTAACCTAACCTAACCTAACCTAACCTAACCTAACCTAACCTAACCTAACCTAACCTAACCTAACCTAACCTAACCTAACCTAACCTAACCTAACCTAACCTAACCTAACCTAACCTAACCTAACCTAACCTAACCTAACCTAACCTAACCTAACCTAACCTAACCTAAC